CATTGATTCTTATTGTCAAACATCAACATTTGAGCTAATACTCGGCCATTATGAATCTCGCAAAAATTCAGAATGGCGTATTAGATATTTTTCAACAAATCATAACTCGATAAACGTCACTTCCAATTAAAATGAGGTCTGAGACAAAGTTTTAGGAAATAATAAATTCAAAGTGTTATTATGTTACTTCCTTCGTGAAGTTTACGATTTTCAGAGTTGGTTGGAAATGCTATCTAACATGAAGCTTTAGTGTGACTAGTACTGTCGCATTAATGGCCCTTCGCTCATTTTCAACATCTATTCAATTTTCATACTGCCGTACTCTAGCGGAACTATCCACCTACCCTCTTCAGAGCTTTCTTTAGCTGATAAATTATCACACGAAAGCTTCATGTTAGATAGAATTTCCAACCAACACTGAAAATAATAAATTGCTTTTCAGGTAAAATATACACGGAAAAATATTTCAAGTAATTTTTATTTTTATTTTTTCAAAATGGTCATTTAGATTTTAACAAAAATCATTAAACAAAAACTTTTGGACACATTTTTGAACTTTTTGTGAAATTTTGCACAGAAAACCATTTCTTAGATTCAAAGTGTTTTTATGTTACTTCATACGCGTAGTTAGCGATTTTCAAAGTTGGTTGGAAATGCTAACATGAAGCTTTAGTGTGATAATTTATTAGCTAGAGAATGATCTTTTAGTAGAGAGTAGGTGGATAGTTCCGTTAGAGTACGGCAGTATGAAAATTGAATAGAAGTTGAAAATGAGCGAAGGGCCATTAATGCGACAATTTTTGAAGATAGACGCACATCTTTTGCCTAACCCGTACGATGTACGCGGAGACTTGAAGTATGTCTCCAAGTCTACAGGCAAAAAATGTGCGTCCCTCTTTTGCTCATAAACTGACTGCGGCTGTGGAATAGTTCTAGCGACGTTTTCATCACTACCTAAAGCCCCACGTTGCGAGAGCATTTCCAGTCGATGGTGTGTTATAATGCAATTCTTCTTTACCCAACTATTGTGTTGTTGTAACTTTTTAACCACGGTAACAAATGACTTGAAATTTTCAGAGAAGATTCTTAGACGAATTCTTAGTAAGAAAACAACAGATCAATGGCAAACTAATACCCACTTTTCAATTAGGGAATCCAAGAGCTGTCTTATACAGTTGCGAAAAAGTCCATCCTCAGAATTCCTGAGGGTCTTTTCGAAATTTTTAGAACTCAATGAGCTCTATTGAAATTCTTCTCAGAAGTCCTCTGGAATTATTTTTAGAATGCTTCTTGACTTTTACTCAGAACACCTTGGAACTGAAATTCCCTTAGAGTTCCAGAAGAATTTTCTCAGTATTATCCAGAAATTATTCCGGAATGAGCTAGAAATTATCGGTACTCACTAGAAATTTTCCTCAAAATCCCTTTGGAATGTCACTCAAAATTTGATTTTCTCGGTATTCTTTTTTGGATATTTGGAACTATCTGCAGGATTAACTAGAAATTAATTATAAAAAATTTCTTGGAATACTCCCCAGAAATATTTTAGAACTGTCCTAAGAATTCTATATCCTTGAGGTTCTTCTCGGAATATTTTGAACTTTTTTTTTTTCTCAGAACACCTTGGAACTGAAATTTTTCTAAAGTTTCAGAAATTTCCTCTGTATTCTCCAGAAATTCTTCCCAGAATGAGCTTGAAATTATCCTCGGAAGTCCCTTGAAATTTTCCTCAACATCCCTTTGGAATTTAACTTAAAATTTTATTTTCTCGGTATTCTTTTCGGAATTATCTTGGAACTATCTGCAGGATTCACTATGGAATCATCCCCAGAAATCTTTTCTTTTAGAACAGTCCTCAGAATTCAATACCCTTGAGGTTCTTCTCGGAAGTAAAGTTAAGTTGCCCGTCCATTCACCAAAACGTTGTATTTTTTTTCAACCGGAAATGTTCAATAACGCTTGCCCCTACATTCACCAGAACTGTGCAATTTTTACATCAGGAATTATCAATTCAGCTTGCCCCTCCATGCAGCAGATTGTTGCAAATCTTACACCAGAAATTTTCAATACAAACTTACCCACAGGTAATTTTAGACCAAAAAATTTAAATTGACCAGAAGGGTGCAAATTTTCCACCGTTAATAAAAATTGCTTCTCCAATCTTCTGATTTGTGCGGATTTCCTTTTTCCATTTTCTACCAAACATTTTAAATATAGCTGGCTTCTCCTATCATCAGAATGTTGCAGGTTTTCCACCAGATAAAGCTTGGCCCTGTTTTCGGATTTTTCATCATAAATTTTCAGTCAAGCAGCTTCCCTCCAATCATCCAAATGGTGCAAATTTTACACCAGGAATTATTATTAAAATTTGTTTCTCTATTCAGCAGAGGGATGCAATTTTAAGACCAATTTTGCCCATCCGTTCACCAGAATGGTGCAGATTTTCCACCAGAAATTTTCAATAAAGCTTCATTTTAAATAAAGCTTGTACCTTCATTTTCCATATCAGTGTAAGTTTTCCACCAGAAATTTTCTGTTCATTTCTTTTATCAGAGCGATGCAAATTTTTCACCAGAAATTTTTCAATAAATCATGGTCCTCCATTCACCAGAACGGTGCACCAAAAATTATCAGTGAAGTTTGTATCATCATGCACCTTTGTGGTGCAATTTTCAGGCTTTGCCTCTTCATGCACCAGAATGGTGCAGGTTTTCCACCATAAATTTTCAATGAAGCTAGCATTCATCAAAACGATGCAAATTACGTACCAGAAAAATGAATAAACCTTGCTTCTACATTCACCACAGTGTTGCGAACTTTCCACCAGAAATTTTTAGTCAAATGTGCACCTCCCCATTTTTAGCGTGATTCAATTTTTTCCACCAGAGTTATTCATTTTGATTAGTCCCTCCATGCACCACCACCTTGATGATATTTTTACACCAGAAATATATAGTAAAAAGCTTTTGCTTCGATTCACCACCTCGAAGGTAAATTTTTTCAACCTTAAATTTACCCTCTTCTTTTAACCCTCCATGAAACACCTTGAAAAAAAAAAATACACCAAGATTTTTTTGTATGCACCACTGTGCAATTTTTTGACCAAAAAATGTCATTGAAGTTTGTCCCTTCATGCACCTTTGTGGTGCAATTTTCAGGCACCATATCAAAGGAATTGACGCAATAAACGGTTTTCAGTGCCCATATATTATGAAATGAAGTTATTTTACCTCCAAATCAAGTTATCAAGAAATCAAGTTATTTTATATTCTTATTTTGAAAATTTGAAAATAAAAATCTTATTTATAAAAGAGGGGGCAATTGCCCCATCTTGCCCCACCCTGTGCACGCCCGTTCGACGACTCAAAATGTATTATGTTTCATCAAGAAGTAAATAAATGCAACATTAACCCTGAATAGATATGGTAAATGCCAAATTATCCCTAAAATTAAAGGAATCCTTAATAACTGTTGGAAACAGCAAAATGATCTGAAAACGTTAGAACATTCCTGCAGTACACATTTTAATATATTTTGTAATTCATACATTATGTTGATGTGGGCACGAGAAAATCTTTTATTGTTAAACAAAATGTATCATTCCGTTAATCATGTTTAAAAAGCCAAAATTGCTCTAAAATTAAATGACAACGTAGCCTTCAACGAACTGCCAAAAATTACTTTAATACGCAAAAATATCCAACATGGTCAGAACCTGAGTTTAAAATTAAATGACCGTACAAGCGTCAGAATGATCTCAAAAACGCCGAAAAGGCCTTTAAATCACCAAAAATGATCTAGAATGCGTTTTAAAAATGCCAAAGTAGACAAAACCTGCAAAAAAAAAGCTAAAATACGCCAAATCTGGCAATCCACGGAAGTCTCTCTCCTCGAAACGTCAAAATGACTATAGAAACGTCAAAATGACTATAGAAACGTCAAAATAGACCTAAAAATGCTTTGGAAACGAAAGCGCCAAAATGGCTTAAAAACGCGAAAAATTTATTCAAAATGCCACACTGTGCCCAAAAATTATGAAAACCATTACCAACATTACCTTAATAAGTCTAAATTGTTCTAATAAAGACTATAAATTGCTGTTGTGACGGAATTTGAGGTAACCTCCTGCAGCGATCTCGGCTACTATTATTCGCCTTCCTTTTTTTGAGTTTTCAAAACCTCTGTCTCTCTTCTCATCTCCAATATGCAAATTGTATCCCCTTTGTTATACCCGCTAATTGTGTCCCACTGCTATAAGTTATATAAAGCAATGTAGTTAAATTTGATAACCTAAACAAGTCTCGCGTATTTCATCCATCCGACCCGAAATCGGTAGTTCTCCCAGCGTTTTTTTTTTGACCTCACAGAATCAATGGGTCACATGGGTTTAAAACCGCCAATATGGCCCAAAATTAAATGATATAACTGTTTAGAAAAACGCCAAAATTATCTTATAAACAAGCCCATCGATCGCAAAAAGGGCATTGAAATTCGGCATTCCGTTGAAAGGTTTGATTCGTTGAAAAACAATTTAAATGTGTTCCATTAATTTGATTAGTTTGGTTGAAAGTTTGTTTTAATTTTACTATGCCATGCCCCGTCGTCAATCGGAATAGATAATCAAATTCACCAGTTCAAGGATCAAGCCTTCGGTTGTCAGAGACGAGTAATCATCCCTAAAAAGCCATAAACACCAATAAAAGCGTCTTCAGCCGAAGATCTTCCACCGCCGCCAATCTGTGATCTTGCCGAGACCCCTCCGATCGGAGCCCGTTCAAGGGAAATAACGAGCAAGGAGGCTCAGCCTGTCTGCGACGACGCTAAGGTGCTCCGCTGCTGCAGCAGAACAGATCTCTCTCGATCGCGAGAGGGGCACATCGCGAGAGAGCCCCAACTATTGGAAGTAGGGGAGTAGGTACAACTGCATCCATCGCGGCTGTGAGGAGTTGGGCTTAGTAGTAAACAATTTTTATATTTTAATTCAGTACGTGTCGATTGGTCGAATTGAGACGTTCTACGGATTCGAGTTTACCCGGTACGTCGTCGAAGTGGATACACACGTGTGTGGTGTTGGTTTTGGGGGGTTTATAATTCTAATTCTCTTGTTACTGGTAGCGTGGGGTAGTTATCGCACTGGTCGCAGTGAAAGCGATTGCCTTTGACATTTTGTGCCACCTATTGGCAATAGTCGCTTATGCGAGGAAAGGGTATTTCGTGAGATGTTTCGTGCGTGATACGGCTCATCTTCAAACGGTTGAGATTATCATGTTTTGAATTTTACATAATCGAGACGAGTCGTCGATTACCTTGCGGTGGCACAACCTGAGGGACCTACCGTTAAGCGGAGTCGAGAGGTGTATCATTGAAGGTGGATGTGTTGCCACAACCTCTTAATCAATTTTTTTACGAGCCCCATCGTGTATTCCTCCTTCTCGGTGAGTACGCGGCGTGGTGCAAGCAATAAGGGGCTCGTAAATCAATGAAGAGGAGACCCCAAGAGTGGGAACCGTGTGGTTTTTGTCAAGGAAAAAAGATCACCGATATACTCTTGTGTGGTACCTAGAAACAATAATAATAACAGCAACAACGTCAACAGTCTCCATAGCTCGAACCTCGAAGTAGAAGTGAATCCTCTTCGCTGCTCGCCTCGCTTAGTAGCGTCTTGTCTTAAAGTGTTATTTTCAGTAAAATCTTCCTCTTATTTCTTAGTCTACTTGTATTTTTCCCTTTCTTAGCAAGCATTTATGCATCTCTATGCAAAGTGTTTTGTGTATAGTTCGGAGCAGTGTAATTTTGCCGTTTCAAAAGTGTGTCGTGAGCTGCAGTAAAAGTGGAAAATACTCAAAACGGGAAAAATATAAATACAAAGTGACATAATAATTATCATCATCGCCATCATCAACCACAGCAGCAACAGCAGGTCGTCACAGCATCATCTTCTCGACTATCTCAGCAGGTCTTCACGGGTTTTCAGCGCATCTTTCCTGCACGCGGCTGCCCAAGTCTGCTCAATCGTTTGCCCAGTGAAGCTTCATTGAAAGTGAGAGTTCATCGCGCGTGTCGCTTTTGGGTGATTGTTGTTCAGGAAGATTCGGACATCGCAGCTGGAGCCAAGAAGATGTTTCTACGACGGTCGTCACTCGCAGTGCTGATCATATTTGGATACCTGCTAATTATAGGTAAATATTGTGTACGATGATGCGCTCTTCTTTCTCGCTTTTTCAGCTTTTTTTCTGGTTGGCAGGTCGAGTAGATGCTAACTGAGCCGTTTAGATTAATGGGATAGTGTCGAGTGTCGTTTCGATTTTTTTATGAGATATGGTATCGAGATATTGAGGAATGGTTTTCTCACGGTGGTAAAATATTTTTTTAATGGCACTAGTCATATAAATGCGTGTAAGCGTACCCCAGGAATCTAACCTTTTTTGACGATGGAACATTAAAATTAGTGGGACATGTTCTTCTGATTTCGACCCGGTCAAAAAGATAATTACTTGACTGGATTGAACCAGACCAAAGGGTGAGATGAGCATAGATGCTGTGATGGTTTTATGTGAATGGAAATGATGCATTTATGAACAGATTTGAAAAAAAAAACCCTGAATTTGATGCGGATCTAGTCCCCTCTAGCTGCTTGATGTAATATTGATGAGTGTTCATTATTTCATATGGTGTAACGGCGGTTGAAGTGAAGAGTTGAAATTACTATTATGCCATTGATCATTACTGTAATTTAGATAGCTCAAAACGGTACACGCGTATGATAGTGATGATGTAACAGTATTAGACAAAATTTCAAAAAAACGTTTAGCAGCAGGACGCATATGAAGTAACCAAAAATTACAGTATAACAAAGGAAAAAAACACCTGAGTAATGTGCTGGACATTTATCGACACAAACGCCTATGCAACGAACAAAAGACTTAATCGATTGCAAACACAGGAAACCCATTGACCCGCAATTACCATCTGAACACTGAAGTATCAGTTTCGAAATAACTTTTCTTTAAAAAAAAAAGTGAAAAGGAGGCAAATTAGCTCTCAGCACACAGACGAGTTTCACAACATTACAAATTATGATCAAGCCGTGCAATGGGTTGTTGTCACTTGGAATCACTTGATGAATACTCTGCAGTGTGCTGATTGCCAACAACGGTCGAATGGTCATAAACCGTACACAGTATATGTATCACAGAAGTGTAGGATTGTCAGCAGAAGGGTGTAATCATACACTCTGACACACTCTCTCTCTCTCCCTAGTTGTAAGTATGTACGGTCATACTACCTATAGGTGGCTCATAATGACACGCGATCAGTCGGGTCCACACCCCTTTCTTGGGCTCAGCTGGTTGACTAATAATGCCTGATCGGTGTTTCGTCGGTGTGATCGGTAATCTTGCGATCAAGAAGATATTGGCCGTAAAGTAACAATTAGCTTCAACGATTTCGGTTAATTTTTAAGCTTAATTTACAAAAAAATAGTGAAATTAAATTTCTACGAGAAGAGAAAAAAGTTAAGTCAGATAACATATTTGTAAAAATATGATAACACAGAAAAATTATATAGGGGAAATGGATATAATGTCGGCCTAAATGCCCCTTATTTGGGCCCATACATAAATTCAGCAATCGACTAAATTTTCAATAGCGACCAAAAATATACATTAGTACAGTCCCAATGACGCATTCATCTAGCAGATTTTTAGCGATGGGCCCAATCTTAGATCCATAGACCAACATTAGAGCCATTTCTCCTACATCGTTGATTTCCGCTGCATATTCGCGCTGTAGATTAAACAGCTTCCGACAAATTCTGCACAGTTCACACAAATTTCATATAAAATAAGGCATGTTCTGGAGCACCCTACCTTCTGTTTTGAAAGTTTACTTGACAATTTTCAAGTAACAGGGAATATATCCCTAACCTCGGTCTAATAAGAAGCCTTCAATTACATTGTATGCCGTATCTTATTTAATAATTGAGCTGCAGTCGATACTTCACTGTCAACATGCAAGTTTAGATATTCTTGATATTTGGATAGTAACTAGGCACGACTGAAAATTGTAAAACTCACCATTTTAACATCAAAACTTTCATGGATGTAATGTAATGTTGGTCTACTGTACTCAAATTGGGTCTATAAATGGATGCAACTTCGTTCTATCGAAGATGAACCTCGATCTACAAAGGTTCGGCATGTGCAATCGCGCTTCTTTTTTACTCCTTATCATTCATACGTAACCACATTGTTAACGTCACTAACACTTCTCGAGTAATAACTGATGAGAATGAAAGAGATGGTGTTTTCATTTCGGTTGATCCAGATAACATAAATCACGAAGCCAAGTAGATTAGCTCACAACCACACATATAACGAACTCTGAAGTCAAGTGATAGCAAGCCGAACAATGCATTAGCTCCTAAGCAACATTGATAGATTATCTATGTAGATTTTTTCTTTGCATTCCCACGACCATGCACAGGCACTTCCAGCTATTTTCAACACAACACAGTTCGATTAAATAAGCTATTATCTAGCATCTGATACGGCAAACACGACAAGAAACGGTTTTGTAGTCAAATTATAAACGAAGAAGAAAGTGGACGAAGAGAATCAATCAATGTTTCTTGGCACCTAATACATTGTTCGGCTTGATAGTTTTTCGAAGGGCCTACACGGCAAACATATCTAACTCATATTTGAAACCCATTCACTCAAATTCGCATAAACGTAGATCACTCATAGGATGAGTTAAAATTTTAATCAAATATGAATAAACGTCACTCATATGTGAGTGAATATCACCCAAATATGAGTGGAATTTACTCATATTTGATAAAAATTTACTCATTCTACGAGTGACCTACGCTTTTGCGAATTTGAGTGAACGGTATTCAAATATATACTAATTTACCGTGAACTTTGTTTTGACGGCAAGAATGACTGCACGCTATTTATAAACAACCCAAATTTGAGTAGGATCTACTCATATCCGTCAAAAAAAGGGCTACACTAAATAGAGCAAACAAAGTTCGATCTGACAAGATGACAAATGAACATCATCATACTCAATTTGGAGTACCCTACTTTCCACGGATATAAGTAGATCCTTCTCAAATTTTGATTGTTTAGAAACAGCGTGTGTACCGTATCGATCCGGACTTTCACGCAAAGATTAACACGGCGAATTTATTCAGTCTCGGAGTAGTACCAATAGACTGAGTGAATCCAACCTTTACTTTTCTCAAATTCGGGAATTTTTCCCTGGAAAATCCTGGAAAAACCTGGGAAAACATGAGACAAATTTTACTCATCGCTGAGTTCCTGCACTTTTGGCGATTATGAGTGAACTAAACTCAAATTTTGGTCGTTCTCATTTGACGTGAACATTTATATGCTTCACGAAATTCGACATTTTCCTATGGGGTTTTCCTATAGGAGTCGTCGTCGTCAACGCGAATGGTTTCACCAATACCAAAACAAAGTTATCAAATAAAGTTCGTAGACCATAATTAGGAACACGTCTCAAAAGTACGTCCCTAATGTTCGGCCCATAGTTATAAATCTTCTAAATTGACAATAAGAGTGAAAATTTATTACGCTAGCATGTTACAAAAAGGAAAGACCTTACAATTAATAAAATAAGCAGTGAAGTAATGAAATTGGGTTGTTAGCGGAATGCTTAAATAAAACAGCAAAAAAAGTTTATCTTCCATTTAATTCCACTTAATTAATTTTGGTATCCATGACACATACGTATTTCGACTACAGGGGATGAGTACTTAAGGGGGTTAGATTTTGAAATGTTCTTTAGTGGGAATGACACTGATGAAGACTGCACATTGTAGTCGAAATACGTATCTGTCATGGATACCAATATTAATTAAGTGGAATTAAATGGAACATAAACTTTTTTTGCTGTTTTAAAATAATCAGGTTATTTGATGACCACCGCAGTGCCGATGTTCGTTAGAGCAATAATATGGCAAGATCATGGCGCCTAGAAATCCAAAAATATGAAAATTTCACTAAACTTTTTCTTTTAAAAAGAGCAATAAATGTTCTAAATTTGTCCCAAAACTAGGCAATTCATTTACGGATTACAATTTCACAGTAGATGTGTTATTAGTTTTTCATTACTATCGTGTATTATTGCAGAATTAATGAGTTATTTACTGAGACACCCCGCCCAAGCAACAATTTTTGTTTTATTTAAGTTTTATAGCAGTTGATATAACCAAATTATAAAACCTTCACTGACGACCACATTGCTTTAACAATCTCCTGAGAACCGCAATACAGCCATGTCATGGCCAATTGGCCCAGTTTTAATGCAGTCATTAAAACTTGATATGCGAACTACTTTAGGAGCATAGGATTTATGTCAGTTTTATCACACTCTAGACGTGATTGTTAAAAATGAAAACATAAAACCTCCTCCAGGTCAGAAAGTTTTAACAGCCTTCTAATGACTACCATACAACTATATTACAACCGCATAAATCGCTACTGAAGAAGTTGATAAAACATGATACGCAAAACATTTTGACAACTTTGAAGGTTTTAAGTTGGGGTTTTTGGATGATAGTTAATATTGAGAAATATTTTATTGTGGTTTTATTCTTTCGATGTTTGATGTGAAATCATGATCCTTGTCAGTTGGTAATAATGGCTGATATTATTGTACATTGAAAATAAGACAACTTTATTATAATTTTAAACCAATCTGTATATGCTTCACAGCATGCCGTGCAATATTTATGGTGATTATTATACCAAATAGGAGCATAAATTTAGTGCGCCATATGAATACTAAAATATAGGGATATTTTTAATTTGTCTGCATTAGCACCATGCATTAAAGAGTCATTCAAAGATTATCTATTTAGTACAAAACTGTTACTACTGTTGAGCAATAACCAGCCACATATTATTTAATTATACATAGATGTATGAAAGTGTTTTATTGCCTATCAATTAAAGCGTAATTATTCATACTGTGTGAAATTTGTTCATACGGCGACATTTTTTTCGTTATAACTTGCTACTCCTTAAAAATACCTCAATATAACATATTCTCTTAGATTGGAATTCTATAGCATAACATAAACCTAATGGTTGTATCTTAGCATTTCGTAGTCCAAATTGAGAGCGTTAAGTTATATTTAAGCTATATA